CAAATTCCAAAAATAAACTGGACAACTGAAAATTTATTTTTCATAACATGGTATAACTGCATAAATAGGTAAATCGTTAAATTGACAACTATGTGTTATATTTGTAACACTGAAATACTTGAGATAACTATATGTTACATAACGGTGCACATGTCTTAAAATGTGGTACATAACGGCGCACATGTCTTATTTACGTGGCTTATTTTGATTGGATTTGTCCCAAATTTGAATTTTTTTTTTATTTAAATTATTTTTTTCCAAAGTTGAGAAGCTAAATTTTTTTCTCATTTATTATCTTATTTTCAAATTGATTTTTTTTCTTTTCAAATTCAAATAAATATCCAAAATTACTTCTTATATTTTTTCACAACATATAATTTTTTTTGCTGCACCATGTGTTAGAATTAATTTATGGGAAATTTGCTAAATTGACTCAGTTTGAATTAACGTTTTGTAAATTAACCTTCTACCTATGATTGTTTGTTCCAATAACCTTTCATATTTCTAAATCCCAATTTTATCCTTCAAAATTAAGAAAAATTAATCTTTTACTAATATATAAAAATGATTTTCATTTTTACAATTTATTTAAAATATTTATAATAATTTTTTTCTTAAAAATAAGTATACAAATCATTAAAAAAAAAAACTTTGTTTCGCAAAAAAGATCTCTATCTCTCTCCGCTTTTCCAATTAGAAGTAAATACCGAAAAAAACATTTCACAAAAAAATAATTAGAAAAAATTTATAAAAATAAATAAAGAAAAAACGTAATTAGAAGCAAATATCCGAAAAAATCATTTTATAGAAAGTAAATATTTAATTGTCCTAGATTTAGGGGATTTAAACTATTTTTGGTAGTTTAGACTTTCTACCATTTGGTAGAACATAGAGAAAGAGGTAGATAGAAGGGGTAGAAAATGCATTCTGCATGGCGTAGATGACAAAGACATTGGTAGAAATAGCATTCTGCGACTGGTAGTACTGAAGCAAATGGTAGATTGTGCAATCTGCGATATGTAGAAATTGAGCAATTAGTAGAATACTTCATTCTACCACTCGTAGATTTATTCAAATTCGTAGAACACCTAATCTACTAGTAGATTCGACCATAGTAGAAGCAAAAATAAATAATTTTCTGTCATAGTTTAAAAAAACAAAATTGTACATGAATCTATATATCTTGTGTATTACTCTTTTTGTATTTTCTTAATTTTATAAAATTATAAAAACCATTTATTTGTAATTTTCGGAATTAATCAAAGGGTAATTTAAGGAAAAATTGGTAAAAATAAGGCAAATGTTATTTCGCAAAACACTAATTCAAACTGAGTCAATTTAGCAAATTTCTCATTTATTTTAAAACTAATTATTTTTTTTAATTTATATTTTATTAATTTTGTTAGTTCAATTGTATCCAATAGTTCTAGTTAGTTGTACATATGTTCTTAGTTATACCCAGTATTTTTAGTTGTACATATATTCTCAATTATACCCGTAGTTCTAATTTAATTTTTAGATCCGATGTCTTGCTGTTTTCCTTCCAGAACGACATAAAATCAAATTGAAGAAGTGAGATTGAAGAATTGAGAGAACGATTCAAAATGGATAATGTCAATTATGAACAAGTTTGAGATTTAACAAATTGAAGCCAAGCTTTACGGTCCATAACATCTCT